AGTCCTGTATATATTTTGTTGTTTGAGTCGTGGCCATGAATGAGGTCGTTGTAATGTTAACACTTTCCTAATATTATACTTTCCCTCCATTCACTTTTACCAGTCCACTATACTAAAATTATATTTCACTTTTACTTATTTATTTTAACAAATCAAGAAAAAGACAATCTTTTTCCCTGTTTTGCCCTTACCATTACCTACGCAATTATCTCCGAATCATTTCCCTAGATTTTTTTAAAAATTATCATTATTATGGATAAAATTGTAAAATATATATTTCATTTATATTTGTTAAAGGGAGTCTAAAGTCAAACGTGAATAATTAAAAGTGAAAGGTGGGAGTATTGACTACTGAGTACTAACTAGCCTAGGATGAATAAGGACCATAATCAGTTTTTTGCACACTTCAAACTACTAATTAATGATGGATAGCTTTAAATCATAATTACAAGAAGCAATCGAGTTAATTAATAAAAACAAACTTTCTCACTTTAAAGTAAGTAGTAAAGAATTGATCTTTCTAAGCTTTCTTCTGTGTAATATCTTCCAGCTTCCACCGCATAGAATCACTTTATTATTAGGAATCCAAACAAAATGGAACTCAGTTTTTTCATATTAAAGAACAGAGGAACAAAAAATTGGCAAAAATGAGCTCACTTTCCATGTTACCATAGTATTCATACTTAATTTTGCAAAGTTACCTATAAAAGAATTTCACCTATTCTTGTTCACAAAGTAACAATTCATCTTCTGTTTCCATACTGCAGTAAGTATATAACTAATGATATATGCTTCCTATTCTTGGTCTCATGCTTAATTAATTACCAACAGACTTAATAACTTGATTCAAGGAGCCTGCCTATTGAATGGGCATCCAAGCTAAGTCTGCTGCAATAACATCATCATCAGAATCCAATAATTCCTTCATTGTGAAGGACTCGTCGCTGCTTATTACTAAGGATTTTTTTGGTAAATGGTAATTAAAATTATCATTAATCACCAAGAGCAGCACTATATAGCAGTTCTCAGTTAGCTTATTCTCAAATAACAGAAAGGAAAGACAGTTTTCTCCAGGCCCCTATACAGTTTGTGCTATCTATCTTTTGAGTATAACAAGAAATGATGCCAATGAGAGTTTCAGAGTTATAAAAATAGAATTTTTTTACTAAGCACTGATGCTGCATATACAAGCTATCTAGCCCTATGTTGCGCGGACTCTCCAAAATGTTGTCGCACCCGTGTCGGATCCTCCAAAAATACATTGGAGGATCCGACACGCACTCGGACACATTTTCGGAGAGTCCGAGCAACATAGGTCTAGCCAAACTTTCATGTGGTTATCATAATGTTATGTAGTTGTACCCATTTAGCATGTCCACACTCTCCAAACAAGTGGTCTCTTGTCTAAAAGCGCATGACAGCGTACACAAGTATCAGTCATATTGAGTCCCTATTTCTTCAGTCTATCCACAGTTAAGAGTCTGCCTTGACATTGCAACCACATTGAAAATGGCGTTAGGTCTAGCAGCGTTCTGAAACATTAATCTTCTCCATCCAGTCTTTGGGTAGGTTGGTATGGTCATATTCTCTACCTGTTTTACATGTACCTTTGTAACATAAAGATAAAATTGGGAATGAATGAGGCTGTTGTGTTACATTTTCCTAACATTAGTAGCAAATAAAAAGAGGAAGATACATTAATTATTGAAGAATAAACACAAGTGGTCCTTCCTAACTTTCTTCTGTATAATAATTTCCAGCTAATTCGACAGCATAGAATCACCTAGAGTAAGAACCAAACAAAATGAAACTCAGTTTTTCCTTTTAAAGATGAAAGGAACAAAAACTTATTATATATTATCATGTGAGGAAGAGTGTAAAGACGAAGGGCGATTCCGTACCATATTATCTAAGAGTAAAAGCACGAAAGGTGATGTCGTGCCATATTATTGAGAGTAAAAGCACGAAGGGTGATGCCATGTCATATCATTTGTGAGTAAAAGCAAGAAGGGTGATGTCGTGCCATGTTATTTGAGTAAAAGCACGGAGGGTGATGCCGTGCCATGTTATTTGAGTAAAAGCACGAAGGGTGATGTCGTGCCATTACACTTATATTATCATGCTTTTGTGTTATTGCGAGTTCATGGCACGAAGGGTGTTTTCGTGCAAGTGAGGATGAGGGACATGCATTATGTTGTGATATCCTTTTCTTGCAGATATCTTCATGTCTTACTTTGATTTGTTACTGTCGTACTTATGGTTCTTATGTGACTTGTCGTCGATGTTCTGTCTTTATTCTCTGTCTCAATTGTTGTTGTGTTGCCCATGCCTTCTACATGCTTAACTTGTAAATATCATGCCTATTTCCTACTGTTATGATTGCAACCATGTCATATCTGTTTTGTTGCACTTAGGTCCAGGTCTTCTTCCGCATAAGTCATTCATGTCTCTACTTGTTAAATTATAATGATCATGTACTCTCCTGTCTTATTTGTTATATCTATCTTTATGCCCCCACCATGCTAGCTAGTTGAAGTTGTAATCCTTTTTCCTGATTGTTGTCATTACATTTATGCTTCCGCTTAGTTTATAACTGACGTCCTTATATACACTCTCGTTCATTATTACTACTTGCGTATTTCCTTCCTTATCATTTCTGTTATCGGTACTTCTGCCATTTGGTTGGTACTGTTTTACGCATATATGGTGAGGATGAGATAAATGCACGAAGGTTGTTGCCGTGCGATGTCTTGAGTATTTCTCTCATACTATGAAAGTTTTGAGGTGATTATTGTGGTTCATGGATTTTCGTTCTAAGTAAAGATTGGTCGAGATATTGGAAACTGATGATTTGTGATCTCTTTTAGTACTCGGTATTGCTTTGTACATTTCATCCGTGTGCCCTATTCCATTACACTGCAGTATAGTTCAATTGTTTACTTTATAGTGTTTATCAATAAGCATCTTTTAACTAAAAATCCTCGTCACTACTTCGACGAGGTTAGACAAGATACTTACTAGTACACGGGGTCGGTTGTACTGATACTACACTTCTGCACATTGCGTGCAGATTTTTGGAGCGGAGCTGCTGGTGATGTCGGGAGCTGACCCTGAAGATGTTCGTGTATTTCGGATAAAAGTTGCCACTTGTCCTTGGTAGTTTTAAACTTTGATAATCGTTTATGTAGTTCTCAAACAGATCATGTAATTACTTGTATCATTTTTGTAAATCCTAAGTCTTAGAAGCTCATGATTTGTACTACCAGTTCTTGGGTTAATATGTAAAAGTTGAGCTATTCCTTCTCTATTTTCCTATAATTTCATTCGACTTGTATTGTTGGTTAGTTGGCTTACCTAGCGGGTGCCATCACGACTTGTGATTTTTGGGTCGTGACAAGTTGGTATCAGAGCATTAGGTTCGTAGGTTCTACGAGTCATGATGAGCAAGTGTCTAGTAGAGTCCTGCGGATCGATATGATGACGTCCGTACCTATCTTGGGGAGGCTACATGGCATTTAGGAAAAAAATTTCCCGTTCTTCTTTCCTTATCGTGCGGCCTTGTTTACATAGTTACCTATAAAAGAAGTTTACAAAGTAACCATTCATCTTCTGTTTGCATGCTGCAACAATCCAAACTACCTATATAACTAATGATATATGCTTCCTATTCCAGGTCTCTTGCTTAATTAATTACTTAATTAACGACTTGATTCATGGAGTCTGCCTACTAAGTGGGCATCCAAGCTAAGTCTGCTGCACTAACATCATCATCATCAGAACCCAATAATTCCTCCATTCAAGGACTCGTCACTGCTTATTAATTAAGGCTTTTTTTGGTAATTAAAATTATCATTAATCACGAGGAGCAGAATTACATAGCATAGCATAGCAGTTTTCAGCTAGCAAATTCTCAAATAACAGAAAGGAAAGACAATTTTCTCCAGGCCCCTATATAGTTTGTGCTATCTATCTTTTGAGTATAACAAGAAATTATGGCAATGACAGTTTCAGAGTTTTAAAAACAGAAATTTTTGTACTAAGCACTTACACTATCCCATCTGCCGTGATGTTGTATATACAGGCTCTCACAATTCACAATGTTATGTAGTTGTGCCCATTTAGAGAGTCTATTCCAAAGGTCTTTAGCAAACAAGTGGTCTCTTGTCTCAAAGCGCATGACAGAGTACACAAGTATCAGTCATATTGAGTCCCACAGTTAAGAGTCTGCCTTGACATAGCAACCACATATTGAAAATTAATGGCTTAAGGTGTAGCAGCATTCTGAAACATTAATCCTATCCATCCAGTCTTTGGGTAGGTTGGTATAAATTGCAGATAAATTTACTTTTTAATACTCTTCTGATCATCCAGTGGATTGTGGTCTGTGGAGTTGATTGATGACCTCCCTTGCTAGCTTCCAAGATTTTCCTCACCATCCAGCTTGCGTATGGGCATATTCTCTACTTGTTTTACATGATTTTTTATAACATAATGTTTGACTTGAGGTGATGTCCCACAACGTAGTAGTGGGGATGAATGAGGCGGATGTGTTACATTTTCCTAACATTCGTAGCAAATAAAAAGAGGAAGCTAAGATACATTCATTATTGAAGATTAAACACAAGTGGTCCTTCCTAACTTTCTTCTGTAAAATAATTTCCAGCTAATTCGATAGCATAGAATCACTTAGAGTAAAGATGAAAGGAACACAAAACTTGACAAATGAGCTCTCCACCGCATGCATGTTACCAAGTACCCATACTTAGTATAGGTTATTATCTATAATTGGTTTTTTCAAGGACTTGATTATAGTAAAGAATTTCACCTATCCATGTATAAAAATAATTCATCAAATCTTGTTTACTACATTATACATTAATCAAAACTACCTATAATTTTTAAAAACCAAGAAGCTGAGTATATAGAGTGAACTAAAAACAGAAACTAGTGTCAGTTGCTTCTCTTGGTCTCTTGCTTATGTGCATCAGCTTGTCTCCTGCCTACTGAGTGGCCATCCAACCTAAGTCTGCTGCAATAACATCATCATTATCAGAACCCAATAATTCTTCCATTGTGAAGCACTCGTCGCTGCTTATAACTAAGCATGGCTCAGCATAGTAATCTGATGATGTTAACATATCAGTAAAACTGATAGGTGCCCTCTCTTCAATGTTGTGCACTTGCTCTTTTGACCACTGATCAGACACAAATCCAGCATTAATGTTTTCTTCATTAACCATGGCACTACTACTTCCTTGAGCCATTGGACACATGATGTTCTGCTCATCAATATTGCAGATAGGCAAATGGGGTTCTGCAGTATTTGATTTTTCTGCTAGTAAACTACCCATGTACTCGTACACTTTCATATCCACATGATCAATATTTATGTCAGCCAATGTTGATGGAACATTACTATGGTCTTGTTGCAACTGAAAGCCATTATTATCAGGTGAGTAGTATGTGAATTGATTTGAAGTTGTCCATGAACTTCCAACATATTCAACATGACTTTGAACTGAATAAGGTGCCATCTCTTCAATATTCTGCGCTTGTACATCCACTAATTGCAACTGATCAAACGCGTTATTATGTTCGGATGATGCGAATTGATTGGAAGGACACAAATCATGAAAACCTGTCCCTTGATCCTCTGAAGAACTTGTAATATAGTCAAGCTCATGCTCTTGAGTTGTCGAATTCATAACAGCAACAACGTTGTTTCCACTGGCCGCTATTTCCATATGATCTCCTAATTCCTTATGATCATTAGCATATACAGATTTACGCTTAATGCAGCACAAAACATAGTCCTCATGCTGAATTATATTTCGTTGTCTTAACACCTTTAGTATGTTGTCATTAAGACTATACTCTTTCATGTTCCAAACAATATTTTTAATTCCTTGATCGACACTTTTCTCTTTTTCAAGATATCGAAAACTTTTCTTGAACCCAATCAACTTTGACCCTTTAAAAACTGATTTGTGTTTGTCAAGTCCTTTCCAACAGCCTCCTCCGATCAGCCGTCGACTGAACCTTGAACCACCCGCTTTTGTTCTCTTCAACTTAGTAAAGAAATAGTTTACCTTTGTATCATCTCCCAGAAAATTGTTTTCGAATATATCCCATGGCTTCTTATTCCCGTAAAGATTCTCAACTCGAATATGATCACACGAGAAATTCTTGCACGAAACGAATTTAAGTAGAAAGAGCGTAAGCTCTTCATCAGTGGGTCGAAATCTGATTCCAAGTACTGGATTTGGACCATAATTATGGCTGCTGATAGTCATGTTTTTTGTTTTCAGTGGAAGAAATTAGCCTGAAAACAGAAAGGAAATACTTTCACTGAACCCTAAGAACACTCTTCAAGAATGGAAAAGTGAAGTAGAAAAAATATTGCCTATTTGATGCCTACTTATATACGTAGGGTTGGGCTATATATAGGCGGGAAGCAACTGAAAGCCGAATTTACCAAGAATTGGGAAATTTTCAATTCCACAGTTCTAGATATTTGTAATAAACACCCCTATAATGTTGCTTATTTGTAAAAAAAATGTAACCTTCCTTATATTTCAAATTAAATCAAATACTAAACCAAATAGTAGAATGAACTAGAATTGGATTTTTGAGTAGACGACCTCGGAATCGGGATCTGAAGGTTCCAGCAGGTTTGTATGATGATTTCGGACTTGGGCGTATGCCCGGTTCGGGTTTTGGATAACCCGGGAGCGTTTTGGCGCCTATTGTGGAAGTTAGCATTTTAGAAGAAATTTCATAAGTTTGGCTTGAAGTGCATTTCAGTGCTATCGATGTCCGTTTGGAATTCCGAGTCTGTTAATAACTCCGTATGGTGATTCTGCAGTTGGGAGCGCGATCGGAAGTGAATTCGGAGGTCCGTAGGTCATTTTGGAGCCATTTGGCTAAAGATAGAAATTTGAAGGTTTTTGAGAAGTTTGACCGGAGGTGGACTTTTTGATATCGGCGTCGGAATCCAATTCCGAAAGTTGGAGATGTCCGTAATGTCAAATATGACTTGTACGCAAAATTTGAGGTCAATCGGACGTGATTTGATAGGTTTAAACATCGGATATAGAAGTTTGAATTTTTGAAGTTCATTAAGTTTGGATTGGAGGTCGATTCATGATTTTAGCGTTGTTTGATGTGATTTGAGGCCTCGAGCGAGTCCGTAATGTGTTTTGGGATTGGTTGGTATGCTTGGTTGTGGTACTGGGTGCTTCGGGTGGAATCCGGGTGGTTAACGGGTCGGAAATGATGGGGATTATTTGGAAGGCTGAGGTTTGGTGCTTCTTGTCATAAACCGCATCTGCGGTTCTAGGACCCAGAAGCGGATTTTGGTCTAAGGCTCGAGGACAGCAGATGCGGTCAAGGTTCCGCAGAAGAGGACCGCCATCTGTGGGAGGCGTGTGCAGAAGCGAGATTGGGGGCGGCCCAGGGAGGACCCAGATGCGGTATTTGGACCGCACTGCGGACCGCAGAAGCGGTCGATGACCGCAGGTGCGAAAAATGCTGGGGGCAGAATGGTTGTTTAAAATCGGGATTTTTTGCCATTCTTCTCATATTTTCATGGTTGGGATTTTTGGGAGAGCATCAAGTGGGATTTTGTCATCTATGTTAGGTAAGTTACTCCTACTCATTTACAAGTTAAATACAAGATTATATCATGGAATTAGACATGAAAATTATGGGAAAATTGGGATATTTTTGGAAGAAAACCTAGAAACTTGATAAATTGGATTTTACCAGAATTTGAGCATGGAATTGGAGTAAATTATATATTTGAGCTAGTGAAGCTATGTGTAGAGTATTTTCGAAAAATTTCGGATTCCGGGCACGTGGCCCGAGGGCGTTTTGGTCAACTTTTCGATCAGAGTTAGGAATTGCTATAAATTAGATTGTAACGATATTTGAGCATATATTAATGGATTTCGTAACGTTGGCCAGTTTTGGGAGCGTGGTGCATCAATTAGAGTCTTCGAAGGGGTGGAATGCCGGTTATGGATCTTCGGAGCGAGGTGGGTCTCATTTCTAACCTTGTAAGAGGGAATTGTCCCATAGGTAAATATAATTGATTATGTGCTCCTATTTGCGGGGGCTACGTAGCACGGGTGACGAGAGTCCGTGCGTAGCTACTATTATGCATTGTCCGGGTAGTTAGGGCCCAAACATGTTATACTTGAATTATTTATGAACCTATTGATAGCTTGAATTGCTTAAATCACCTTGGATTAGCAAACGAATTTAAAAGGAGACTAAACATCATTTTTCCTGAATTGTTAAAAAGAGAAGTTGTTTTTATTTGGATAAATATTCTCGATAATTCTTAATTGACTGATATTGAGCATGTATCTCTATGTGTAGCGTCGCATGCATAAGTTAGCGAGCAGGGTATGTGTTTATTTATGAAACGGGCTGAACGCCTCGGTAGATTAAATAGATGCATCTATAGGCGCGCCGTCGACCCTCGGCAAGTGCACAGTTTATTTCTGTTGGATCGGGCCGTCGCCTCTGTGTGATTTGCGCATGTTATATTGTTGCTTGAGAATTTTAAATATGAAATGTGCCCTTCGTGGCTTGATATAAATTGATAAGATAATAAAGAGTAAACCTTGAAAATCCTTGATTATTTGTTGAAGGTGTTTACCTGTTTTCTGACTTCGTGAATTAGGACTGCTATATAAATCCATGATTTCCTCACATTTTTAGTATATTGTCAATTGACCTTTAGTAAGTGTCGAAGTTGACCATCTCGTCTCTACTTCTTCGAGATTGACGGGATACTCATTCAGTACACGTTGGTTACGTACTCATACTACACTTATGTGCATTTTTGTTGCACAGGTATATCTATCTCTAGCAGCCCACTGGGCATAGCAGCACGGATGATTCGGGGACTAGGTGAGTTGCATTATTCGAGGCGGCCGCAGCTAGTAAAGTTCCTTCCGGCAAATTATATTTTCTTTCTGTCCACTATATTCCGGACGGGTGTTGTATTGTATTTTATTTTCCTTATCAGTGGTTGTTATGCTATTTGGATTAGTCTTTTTATATTTGACCTTTGATATTACTCTACAATAGCTACATATCCACTTTACAATATTTTTAATCAAATTGTTTGGATAGTTTTTGGTAATCTTCCATTTTCTAAAGTTTATACCAATTAATATGAGATACACGTGCAATGCACGTGTCCAGAAACTAGTTTAACTATTAAGCTCTTAGATTATCTTCAATGGAAATCTGTTGGATACCTTTTTGCTGAAAGTTTAGACACGAATAATCGTCAATTCAAGAGTTATATAGCTATTGCCGAATGAAATCTACGAAACAAGCTAAAATTACAAAGTTCTTTGATCACGCGCAACTAGGCGTTAAAAAAAGGACTAAGCGGTTGCTGCAAATATATAATCCGGTTCAGTCCGGAGTCGAATCCCGCAGGGAACTAACCTATTTACTACAACTTTTAACACTGCTATGAATAGCTCAAACAATCCACGGATGCAAGATTTTTAATAGATAATGAGTAGAATTTAGTTAACTAAGGAAAAATAATAATAAAACTAGCAATAATCAAGAATATAGTTGAATTCTATGGTAAAATCGTCTAGGGTTATTGATTTCCCCAATTGCCGGATTAGTTCCTGACACGTTAGCTATAATCTTGCCGTAATACTCTATAAGAAATATGAGTTCTGGGTTACCGCAATTATCTCTCGATAAATTACGATAATTTACTAGAAGCATTCTCTCGAACTTCTCTAGTTAACAATTTATGCAACTCAGAATTATCCCACTAGAGCTTCGTTATCGCTAATCCTGCTTTTAAATTGAAGTAATTAATCTCTTAACTTACCGGAAAGTGGTATTGTTCAACAACAATCTAACCCAGTGTTCTTTCTCAAGCAACACAAGGTAACTAGACACAATTAATCAAGGGACCTTTCAATTAATCACAAGAAAACACATAGTCGAACAATTATAGAGTAAGAAACGGCTTAATTATATCAAAACGTAATCAAGACTTCATCCAACAATTGGTTCCATCAACCCTAGATTAGAAGTTTAGCTACGCATAATCGTTTTCACAATCATAATGATAATAATTCATTCTCAATGATAAAAACAAGAAGAAGAAGAAGGGTAAAAACTCTATGCCAAATCTTCTGCCTTGCTTCTTTCCTGTTCTTGCCTTCAAAAACACTTCAAAAACCTCGATATCCTCTATTTGGGCGAGCTGGGCTTCTTATAGGTCAAGGAGAGTCGTCTTAGAAATTACACAATTGACCTTGCAATGTTTGGCTCCGAGCACCCCGTCCGCGGCCGCAGATGGACCGCGGATTGACCACGGATTCGACATATGTTCTGTCCACGGCCGTGGATTGACCGCGGACCTGGGCGCGGATTTCATCCTTGCTCTTTCTTCTCTTTTTTCGATCGTGTTGTCCTCCGATTGACCTTCCATGCTCCATATTGACTCCAAAACACTCTTTTAGCTTTCTACTAGCTCGGAGTGGCTCCTGCAAAGCAATAAACTCGTAATTAGAGCATTTTGTTATCTTTTACAATCAAACATAGGTAAAGTGCGGCCAAATTAGAGTGTAAAGCTAACTTGCATGATTATCATCTATTATCATTCTTCCATCAATCTTAAAGGAATTTAGTTTTCTAGATAGCTTTAAAATGTCTGCCTTAGAGTTTAAATCTTTATACGTTTAGTTATGAATAATTAGTAATGTATTAACCTTTTTCAATATTTAACTAATGAAATATACATATCTTTTAAGATTTTAAATTTGAATAATAATTTGATCTTCTATATGTAATATTAAAAAAGAAAAAATAATTAATTTTGGACAATTTTTTTCTATAACTGCCAAAAAATATTTAAATATCAAATATTGTTATAGGCGTATAACAGTCATTTATTATAAAAACTAAAAAATATCGGATTAATCGAGATTGCTATAAACAGAATTGACTGTATATCGAAGGGCAGCCTATATAGACTGTCATGCCAAAGCGGACATCATGGCTTCTGCAGAAAACCTTTAATTTTATTGAGGAAGCTAGTTATGATATCTCTCCTTTGCAGTTAATGAACAATTTGTCAACCAAAGAAGTTTACACTTCGAGAAAATTATGAAAATGTGCCGTGGAGGAGGTTGATATGCAACAATTGACAGATTATACACAAGGGACAGGCTTATAAGGGGGCCGGATTTGATTAATAATATCCAATGTCCTCTGTGTGGAGCAGAGCCCGTCTCAACAA